TACAAGAAACTAAGTGGGTTGGTCTTAAGGCAAATGATCTAGAAAACTCAGGTTTTAAACTTTGGTATTCCGGCACAAATAGAACGAGAAATGGTGTTGGCATCATCGTGGACAAGACCTTGACACAAGATGTTGTAGGTGTCAAAAGGTTAGGAGATAGAATTATGGCAATCAAGATTGTAATAAGACAAGAACTCATCAATGTGATTAGTGCGTACACACCTCAAGTAGGGTTTGAAGGAGAAATTTTGGGAAGATATTGGAGACTTGGTGTAAGGAATCGCTTAGACGGAGAAGTTATTTATAGGAGGATATTTAAATGGACACGTGGGCAAAGAGACAGGCAACTATGGAGGTTTTCATGATGGCCATGGTTTTGGGGAGAGAAACGAGGATGGGGAAGCCATCTTGGATTTTGCAATGGCATATGAAGAGAGAATAACATGTGATCACCTACAAGAGTGGGTCGTCAAAAACACAAATAGATTTTCTTCTAATGAGGAAGGTGGATCGAATAACTTGTAAGTATTGCAAAGTTATACCGGGAGAGAGATTGGCTAATCAACATCGCTTGTTGGTGATGGATGTACATATCAAAAGAGAGAAACAAAGAACAAGACCTTGAAGTGCTCAAAGACTAGATGGTGGAATCTAAAAGGAGAAAAACAAGTCATTTTCAAAGAGAAAGTAATCACCCAATTCATGTGGGATAGAGAGGGGAAAGATAGCCAAATGTGGGATTCCATGGCTAGTTGTATCCGAAAAGTAGCAAAAGGGGTATTAGGAGAGTCCAAGGGCTTTGCTCCACACCAAAAGGAATCTTGGTGGTGGAATGAGGAGGTACAAACGAAGGTTAAGGCTAAGAAGGAATGTTGTAAAACCTTATACAAGGATAGGACCGATGAAAATGGTGAAAGATATAGAATAGTGAAGCAGGAGACAAAGAAAGCTGTGGGAGAAGCTAAGCTAGCGGCTTTTGATGATATGTATAAGCGACTAGATACCAAATAAGGAGAGTCGAATATCTATAAACTAGCTATAACAAGGAAAAGATGGCAAGGGACCTAAACCAAATGAGGTGCATCAAGGATAAGAATGCAAAGGTTCTTGCTACAGAGAACGTGGTCAAAGACAGATGGAGAGGTTATTTTCATAATATTTTCAATGAAGGACAAGAAAGGAGGACTTCTTTGGGGGAATTGAGTAACTTAGAAGAGTGTAGAAACTACTCATTTTATCGTCGAATTAGGAAGGAAGAAGTGGTTATAGCTTTGAAAAAGATGAAGCATAGAAAAGCAGTGGGCCCATATGATATACTGATCAAAATGTGGAAAGTCTTGGGAGAGACGAGTATTGCATGGCTCACAAACCTTTTCAATAGGATTTTGAAAACGAAGAAGATGCTAAATGAGTGGCGAAAGAGCACTTTGGTGCCTATTTACAAGAATAAGGGCGACAAACAAAATTGCATGAACTATAGGGTATTAAGCTAATGAGTCATATAATGAAGCTCTATGAGAGAGTTATTGAGCATAGACTGAGGCAATAGACACGGGTCTCAGACAACCAATTTGGGTTCATGCCAGGGCGCTCAACCATGGAGGCAATCTATTTCTTACGAAGATTGATGGAAATATATAGGTATATGAAAAAGGATTTACACATGGTCTTTATAGATTTGGAAAAAGTATATGATAGGGTCCCAAGAGACATACTTTGGAGGATTTTAGAGAAGAAATGAGTACAAGTAGCATATATCCAAGCTAAAAGTATATGTATGATAAAGTAAAGACTGCCGTAAGAACTCATGAAGGACAAACCGAAAGCTTCCCCATAGCTGTAGGGTTACATCAAGGCTCATCTTTAAGCCCTTACCTTTTTGCATTGATAATGGATGAGTTAACGGGACATATTCAATATGATATTCCTTGGTGTATGCTTTTCGTAGATGATATAATGTTGATAGATGAAACTTAGGAATAGGTAAATGCAAAGCTTAACCTTTGGATAGAAATGTTGGAATCTAAAGGTCTTTGCCTAAGTCGGTCAATGACAGAATATATGGAGTGCAAGTTCAGTGCAAATGAAGGTTCAAATGAGTATGGGTGATGATCGAAGACCAGGAAGTACCAAAGAGCGACTGCTTTCGCTACCTAGGATTTGTTTTGCAAAAGAACGGAGAATTAGATGAAGACCTCAACCATATAATACAAGCTAGATTAATGAAGTGAAAGAGTGCATCCGGCGTGATGTGTGACTGTCGTATGCCACTGAAGCTTAAGGAAAAATTTTATAAGACGACAATAAGGCTAGCGATGCTATATGGCACGGAATGTTGGGCGGTAAAGCATCAACACGTACATAAAATGGGTGTAGCGGAGATGAGGGTGATTTGTTGGATGTGTAGGCATACGAGAAATGATAAGATTAAGAATGAGGATATCCGAGGTAAAGTAGGAGTAGCCGAAATTGAAGGAAATATGAGAGAAATCGGTTACAGTGCTTTAGACATGTGCAACGAAGGCCTACTGACGCTCCGGTTAGAAGATGCGACTACGAGACAGAGGTCCAGGGCCAAAGGGGTGGAGAAAGACCTAGGAAGACTTTGGAAGAAACTCTAAGAAAAGACTTAAAGTACTTAGATCTAACAGAAGACATGACACAAAACCGAGCGGAATGGCGTTCGAGGATTCATATAATCGACCCCACTTAGTGGGAAAAGGCTTTGTTGTTGTTGTTGTTGATGAAGTTTACATTCTATTAGAGAGTATAATTTATCTTTTAATATTTTTAATCCACAAGTTATAAGATTTTATCTAAAATCTCATTAATATAAACAACTACAAATTTCAATTTTAATTTAAAAATAAAATAACTTATGTAGAAATACATTATTACATTAATGTCGGAAACTTCGATAAAAAACTGAAAACCAACAAGGTTTCAGTCAAAGAACATTGAAAGTTAGTAACCTCATCCAAAGTCTTCCTTTTTCTTATGTTAAAAAATCTCATCAATCCGAATCTCGCCACTCCCATTTTATAAGAATAAATGTGCAAACATTTTAAGTTTCTAAATGAAGGACAAGAGTTTGAGTCTTGTCTTCTCTTTTTCAAACAAAAAAAAAAAAAAAAAAAAAAAAAAAAAAAAAAAGCAAACGGAAAAATTCTATACAATCTATCTGGCATTTACTAAAACTAAAGAAAAAGAAAATTTCACTAACTCAATGAGAGCTGCAAGGATTATTGTAATAGTTTGAATTTCATCATTTATTTATTTATATTTATTAAGCAAATTAATAACAAAAGATCATATGCGTGTTGTGTGGTAAGAAAGAGTTCCACGCAACTGCAATTATACGGTGGAGCGGCTACCAGTGGCAGTGCAGTGGTGGTGGAACACACTTACGCACACGCAGAAGAATCAGACCCTGCACACTGACTTTGTTCTTCCACTTGGTTGCTCAGTCGATCGTCGTTTTATTCGTCCAGTCGTTCTTTTAATTTCCAAAGGAACCCGTCGTTTACGCCTTCTTTTAATTATTAACTTGCATTGAGAAGCCTGCCCCTGCCATGCACGCAGTGATATATCGACATAGCAGCATGCAGCATGCTCATGCACGCCGAGTCTGCCTAGTATTTTATAGATTTATTCTACGGTAAGAGGTGGGGGAGTGAGCTGTGCCCCACAATGGACTAGTAATACTGTGGTTCAAATTCGTCTTTGGTGAGAATCGAACCTAAGACCTTTCACTTACAAATAAAGAGAATACAACTAGACTATATAGTACTAAGTGACAAAACACTAAACTAATTAGCAAATGTATCAGTTAACGAGTATCTCAATTTGTGCATTATGGGGAGGTAGTTGTGATTGTAAGAAATGTAATTAGTTAGGCCTTCTTCAGTGGGAGAAGTAAATTCAACAACCTAAGATATGCATTTGACAACTTCACAATAAATTTCAATTTCAATAAATTTTGAAATAAAAACCCACATCTCACCGAAATTTGTAAAAAGAAATTATAGAGAGAGCATTTTAATTTTATTTATCGTTTTGGAAATCATCCCTAAAGTTTAGATTGGATTTGGTATACCCATGAAGCTATCGCACCATAAAAATCATCCTAATAAGAAAAGAGAAATCATAACATGATTGTACCACCCAATTCATCCAAATAAATACGACACCCATTTATCCAAATTAGAAAATCACCCTAGAGGACCTAAACCCTAATAAAAACACGCGCAATATAAAGCGTGTGGTCATTTTCACAAAAAAAAAAAAGAGACTGGTGAGCGACAAGGTCATATGACTGACCCATATCATCTCCACTTCCATTTCCCTTCCCTCCTACAGTGACAACTACTCGTACACTTTTAACAAACACTCTCGACATCCTAGTCACAAACCACGTCGTTTCGGGTTTAAAGAAGTGAAAGAATGGTTGTTGCTGATGTGGCTTAATCTTTACCTTTCAATTAGCTTGAAAATGTTTTGAATGGCAAGGAGGAAGACAGCCAACAGGATCCTCTCTGGATCCTTTTGGTGTGGATCTTTGAGATCAATTAATCGTGTTCGTTCATCGTACATTATGCAGTCAATTTTTATCAGGTACTATTTGTGTTTAATTTTAAATAAAAATATTTAAAATAATTTCTGATCGCACGATGTACAATAAACGAACACAATTTATAAATCTTCAGAATCCTCACAAAAATGATCCAGCGAGAATCCTGATTCGGAAAATAGTCAGGGAGAGAATACTGGTTTTGTACTGAAGTGCTTTTATAAAAAGTAGGTATAAAAAAAGCTAAGTTCAAAAACGTGTTTGCTAAATACTTAAAAACAATTTATTTTCATAATTTTGAACAACAAAAAGCTAAATACGTAAAGCAGTAAAAATAAACTTATTTTTAGAGTATTTTTTCAAAACACAGTAATACTAAATTAGCGTCCGAATAAGTCCGCTGATCCCACTGGTTGGAGTCCCTTCTCCTCTCTGCCGGGCGGACCCTACAGACTCTCTCTCTAGCACTCTTGTCTCTCTTTCTCTCACTCACTCATCAGCTTACTGCTAAAGTGCGCCCGGGCCGCATACAAAAAAGCAAATGCTGGGTAATTACAACCGCCATAATCACGGAGACCAGGGAGAGAGAGAGAGAGTCAGAGCTCTCTAGAGAGAGAAGCAGCTCTCTGGAGAGAGAAAAGTTAGAGAGAGAAAGCTCTTGTCGCGCTTTGGCTCTCCGAAATTGCAAAAAAGGAGAAAAGTGAAGGGAAAAACCTCGGCATGTCATTTATAGCTTTTGTTTTTGGGGAGAAAAGGAAGTGAGTGTGTGAGAGAGAGGGCTCTGTGAGAAAACCCTAAATTGGAAGCTAACCCTTACCGATTTTCGTTGTTGTTGGTCACAAGGACCTTCCGTCTTCCCCAGGCGTAAATGTTCGACTTCGTTTTGCTCTGGTGCGTTTGCCGTTTCGACTCTTCTGCGTTTGGAATTTTGAATTCTGTGTTTCAAGATCTTTCTCTATGGATTCCACATTCTCCTTCTCACTTTTTATTTTGTTTTTCTGAAAAATATTTGTTGGGTTTATTGGAAATTGATGTTTTGCTGTGTTGAACCTCTGGGTTTTTCTGTTTTTTTGGTATAATTTTCTTGTTTCTTTAATCTGTGTTTAATTTGATATTCTGGTTGAGTGAGAGTGAAGTTAGGAATTTGACAAGCCATTGATTGATTCTTGGTTTGCTTTGATCAGGTTGGGGGTTGTGGAAACTTTTGACAATTCGGGTTTCGTGGTTGAAGGGTTCTTGTGGTTTAATTCACATTCCCAAATTGTTTGCTCTATTCACATTTTATATATCAAGTTCTTTATTTTTGTGTTCATGTTGTGCTAGTTTATATCGTGTTTCGGCTTTATTGAATCTATATAAAAAGAAATTCAAACACCAGACACTTTGCGTTATTCTTTAAATGGATCTTTGTTTTTTCATTAAATATTGTCTGTATGAGTGCTTTCTGAAAAGAAGTTCACTTGCTGTTTGAATGTTGTTTCTGATAAAGATGGAATGGGATTGAAGTACTGTTTTGTGGACTGCTTACACATTAAGATCTGACTATATATGCGAAGGATTCGGGTAAGCTAAATCTTGATTTACTTTGTAGATTTTTGCTGGATGATTTTTCTATGAGATACACGGTTATTAGGCATGGAGAGGGTTTCAGAATCAAAGGTGCTTCCTAAGAAATATGATGTGGGACACGAGGTGATTTATTCATATTCGGCCTCAACGAGAGGAGTGGGTCACTTGTCAAACACACGTTCTGGTTTGGCGAGAGCAGCTGTTGCTTCTGCAAGAGACAGGGGTCAATTTTCCAATGGGCAATTGGGCTTGGTGAGAGAAGAAATTGCATTGGCAAGGCAAATGGCTGAATTGTCAAATGTGCATTCTGTTATGGTAAAAGATGGAAGATCTAATGCGCGCGAGTCTCAAGATTCAGACTCGCCTACACCTTTAAGAACAACAAAAGGAAAGATCTCTTTGCCAGAAGAGGAAGAACTTCTGTCTGACTCTCTCACATTCAAGGGAAGTATAGATTCATTTGATGAAGGGGCTCCTAGTTCTTTTGCCGGGGTTAGTCACCCTCCAGAACCTGTTGATATTGATTTAATGAAACCAGTGTATGTACCGATTGGTCAGAATAAGTCCGAGGCTGGATGCCTGATGAAGAGCCTATCTATGAAAGGCCCTTTTCTAGAAGATCTTTCCCTCCGTGTTCCTGCTAAGAAACCAAGTTCAACCGTTCTTTCCCCTGCGGAAAGCATGCTTGAAGAACCCAATGACATAGGTGCATTGTCTCCACCATTTGTGGTTCAGCGTGCGTCACAAAATACGGAAAGTTCACTCCTTCCTCCGGATTCTGAGGAGAAGGAGTGTGTTTGGGATGCTTCTTTGCCTCCAAGTGGCAATGTAAGTCCACTGAGTAGCATCGATAGTACTGGCGTTGTCACTGCTATGAGCATTGTCAATAGCTGTGGTAGTACATATAGGAGTGACGTAATCACTAGTGATGGCATGCTTAGTATCGAGAGAAACTGTGAAAGTGCCAAAGGGAGTGTTAGAAGGGAATCACTTGAGAGTCCAAAATCTAGCGTTAGTCGAGCAAGTGATAGCAGTGGCCTTAGTGATGACAGCAACTGGAGCAACCTTACTGGGAGTGCTAATAAGCCTCATAAAGGAAATGATCCTAGGTGGAAGGCTATTCTTGCTATTCGAGCTCGAGATGGGATTTTGGGTATGAGCCATTTTAGATTACTCAAACGGCTTGGTTGTGGTGATATTGGCAGTGTTTATCTTTCAGAACTAAGTGGAACCCGTTGTTATTTTGCAATGAAAGTAATGGACAAGGCATCCCTTGCAAGCAGGAAGAAGTTGACTAGGGCTCAGACAGAAAGGGAGATTTTGCAACTGCTGGACCATCCATTCCTTCCAACTTTATATACACATTTTGAGACCGACAGATTCTGCTGTTTGGTCATGGAATATTGTCCAGGTGGTGATCTGCACACTCTGAGGCAACGACAACCTGGAAAACATTTCTCAGAGTATGCTGCGAGGTATGGCTTTAATTTCTGAAGCATTTTTTCAGCTGTCTAAAGTATTTTACTGTTTCTTATTTTGATCAAGAAGGTAGCCTCTATGCATATCACTGTTAAATGGTGTATCTTTTTGTGTTTATAATGTCGCCTTTTTGAGAGTTTTCCAATATGGAAATTTTTAAATTGGCAAAGATCTAATTTTTCTGCCACGAATGTCTTTTTTGTTATGCATCTTAACGGCTTGTACATGTTTCTCATACTTTTAACAGTACTTTGCTGTATTTTTCATCAATCTCCATTCTCACCGACAGTAATAAATAAAAAATAGTTTAAGCTTCTATACCGCACAGTGACACCACTTCATTTTGCGATATGGTAGGGGTTAAGGAACTCTAGGACAGGTGTGTAATGAAATTATCTATACTTACTATCTATTAATAGAACTCTCTTTGCCAACCAACAATTCAACAAATATGGTGGTTAGTTAGAAAAGCTTTCTTTATGGGCTTCTGTCTTGAAAGAGCGCATCTCCTTTTTCTGATAAATGAATACTTCAATTTGCTGCTTTAGGACATTTTCATATTCACATGAAGGTACTTCGCACTTATTTGCTATCACCTTTGCCTATTTGGAAAACTTCACGATGTGACTTACCTCTATCACTATCACACTACTATTTGGATTCATTTCCCACTTATGGAAATGATAGAGTGCAAGTCATGTCTATTCCTAGATGTTAGTGACTTGCTATATTTATTCCCACGCTTCGTCTGTTGGCCCTCTATTGTATGCAAAGTCATATGATAGAATGCACAGTGATATGCTAGTCCTATGAGCGTCTTTTTGTGTCTTTGTTTGTCCTCTGTATTTTTACAGTTCTCTAGTTTCCCTTTTGTTGTCGACATCCTGTCCACCATTTTGTACTTGTTTCTCTTGTTAATGACGTTTTGTTTCCTATAAGTAAAAAGTATGTACTCCTCATCTACTTTGTATCTGAATCCAAATACTGTGTAAAACTTAACAAATTTTCTAGTATAAAAGCATGTAACTGGCTAAGAGGCTGAATAACATATTGAAGTATTAGTCGTTGGAGGTTTGGCTGTTTATGCTTGGATTGGAAGCCTTTTTGAAACTAAATAGTATGTAGTAGAATAATGATTAAAGCATCAACGTTTGTAATTGTAACGGAAGCAAGAAACTGAAGAAACCATCATTGAAAATATTGCTATTTATGCTTGGCTACATATTGTTGTACTACCTTGACCTATCCAATCTACAAATACATGAATGATTTGGAAGTTGGAGCTATTCATTCAATTACCTTGCCTTCCCCACCTTTGAAAGATTACTACTGTACTGGAGAAAGTCGTTCTTTGAAGCCAATGTAATCTTCTAAAACTTGTTCCCCACATTAAGAATTATATGCTTAAGAAAAGGGTGCAAGGATCCTGACCATGTATTTAAGAATTTTGTTCTGTTTTCATCTTATGCGGCACAGTGGCAAATTTGATAGAGTGTAGTTTATCATATTGCACGCAGATTGGATGCATTATAGTTTATCTTATTTGATTTTGTTCCGTTTTCATATTGTGTGACAGATTTGATGCATTCTGCTAAACTAGTTGTTCTACTAATGTGCTAAACTAAGCTGTCATTTTCTATATACAGAAAGTTGGCAGGCAGTAATATACAAGTCTATCTTTGTTCTTGTAGATTCTATGCTGCGGAGGTTCTGTTGGCACTGGAGTATCTACACATGCTTGGAGTAGTCTACAGGGACTTAAAACCTGAAAATGTGCTTGTCCGTGATGATGGCCACATAATGCTCTCAGACTTCGATCTTTCACTGAGATGTGCTGTTTCTCCGACCCTGATAAGAACTTCATATGATTCGGATCCGTCAAAACGAGCAGCAGGTGGTGCATTCTGTGTCCAGCCTGCATGTATTGAGCCCTCATCGGTATGCATTCAGCCTGCTTGTTTTATCCCAAGGTTCTTCCCTCAGAAAAGCAAGAAGAGCCGAAAGCCTCGAGCTGAGCCTGGGTTTGCCACCAATGCACTTCCAGAGCTTGTTGCAGAGCCTACTCAAGCTCGGTCTATGTCTTTTGTTGGAACGCATGAATACCTAGCCCCTGAAATTATTAAGGGAGAAGGCCATGGTAGTGCAGTTGATTGGTGGACGTTTGGTATATTCTTGCATGAATTACTGTATGGCAAAACCCCTTTTAAAGGTTCAGGAAACCGTGCTACACTGTTCAATGTGGTGGGGCAGCAACTTAGATTCCCAGATTCCCCCGCAACTAGTTATGCAAGCCGCGATCTAATTCGGGGGTTGCTGGTGAAAGAGCCACAGCACCGGCTTGGGGTGAAAAGGGGTGCAACTGAGATCAAACAGCATCCCTTCTTCGAAGGTGTAAATTGGGCTTTAATACGATGCAGCACACCACCAGAAGTACCAAGACCGATGGAAGCTGAGCTGCCAGTGAAATTTGGGGCAGTTGAGGCAGTTGGTGTCGGAAGCAACAGTAAAAGAATGGCTGGGGCAGACGTGAAGTCCGGGGGTAAATATCTAGACTTTGAGTTCTTTTAGTTCGGAGCACAAGGTTATTGTGCTATCTTGTACTCATACCCATCATTTAAATCCCAAACGAGTATGCCTGATTCACTGTGTTCTCTGCTAATGAACTTGAGATTATCTCATAGAAAGAAAATCCCCCTTTTAACGGGGAAAACTGTTTAGTAAAGTTATAGTAGTGATAGATTTTTCAAAAAATTATCGGGATCGTACCAGTTTTCGTGTTTAAACTACGTAGGGATGTCATTAGAGCTAATGCAATTGCTGTGTATTGAGATATTTTTCTGTTCCTGTTGCACACTGTTAATTAAAGTAGCACGAAATGCAAGTACAAGTGTTGCAAGGGTTGCTCCGTCTTCCTCTAACGTGTTTATGCAGCGGTAACATGCACATTAACAAAATATAAGGTTTTGTTTGGAAGTGGTTTTAAAATGATTGAAAGCACTTTTGGTGAAATTGATTAAAGTTTCTTTTGGGATAAGCACTATATATGTGCTTATTGTAGAAAGCATCTAAAATGCTTTTCTAGGATCCATTTGGATTTGTACTGAGGATTGGTTCTAAAAGCATTTTCACCAAAAGCATTTTCACTTATTTTAAAAGCATTTCCAAATCGAGCTCTTTAAGTAATCAAGTTCACCTGAAACGGAAATTAATCTGAAAGATGAAATGTTGTGACCGGTGATTCTTTATTGAATGATCGAGTTGTAAAGAATATCAGCAACTCAAGCTGCATGGGCATTTTGAAAAAAATAAAAAAAATAAACAGAATAAAAAGCAGACACGGTTGCCGTTAGCATCACGAGGCATAAATACAAGAGATACAAAAGTATCAACACTCTTAACTAATTACAAATCAACCGGAATAATTAGGCATTGTACACTAATTTTGCGGGCTTTGGTACAAAACCTTCCGAAGAAAATAACGTGAAGGAAAAAAAAGCGCCACACATTGCTACAATTTGAAACAAAATAGGAAAAAGCCAACAACATGAGACCACTTCAAAATTATCCCAATAAGGGTTCTCTAACAATCCCTGAATTGAACTACTTGGATACTATTATAAAAGAGCGTGAATGCCCACTGAAAAAACAGTTTGAATGAAGACTTTGAAAAAACAGTATGAATGCCCACTGGATAGATGTCTATGGAGATATGGCACTGTACCTGTTTGACAATTTGTCTGATTTGAATTATGATCTGCAAGTTCTAATTTATGTGGATCTCTTTTCGTTTCTGAGGTTACGTTTTCTGATTCAGTGGATCTTTTTTGTTTGAATGTCATAGAAACTTCGTAGAGATAGAATTGGGTCTCAAAGATTTGGATTTGGAAAGTGAGGGGCAGTGCGGTGGAGAAGATCTGGGGAAGAGAGGATTTAGTGTTTTTTTCTTTTACTTGTTATTTTATTTTAACTAATTTGGTTTAAATAAAGGATAATTTGGAAATGCAATTTCAGAGTTCAAACTGACAAACAAGATCTTGTTTTTTTATTTGATGCATTTGGTGGTTGTGAATTTTTAAATACCTGAAGAAAAAAAAAATTCCTTTTTTTTCATTTCATTAATCATTTATTTTTGGGAGACTTTGGATGCGGTCCCTAGTTATGAATAATCTTTGACTGAAACTTTGTTAGTTTTCAATTTTTGATCCAAGTCCCTAAAATTAATTGATAATTTATTTCTATGTACGTTACTATATTTTTTAAATTAAAAATTAAAATTTATAGTTGTTTATAGTAATGAGATTTTAAATAAAAAACATAATTTGTGGGATTAAAAATATTAAAATATAAATATACTATTGTGTGTGTGTGTGTGTAAACATGGGTACATTCATAAAAAAATAACCAAAAAATTATTGTATCAAAACATGGGTACATTCTTCAAAATGGGTACATTTAGCAAAAATAAAAATGGGTACAAATAAATAAAAAAATATGGGTACAATACAAATAAAACTTTAAAAAATATGGGCACAAAAAGAAATTAATATATGGGTACAAATTAAAATTGAAAGGAAAATTGGTACAAATTAAAAAAGGGTTGCAAATTAAAAATGGGTACAAACTAAAAATAAAAATATATGATAAAAAATTTAGCCATAAATATAAATATACTAATTGTAACATTTTTAATATTAAATGAATATATTTAGAAATAAAAAATATTTTATTATTGAAATAATTAATGATATTATTAATACAAAGGACCTTGATCAAAAATTGAAAAGTAATAAGGTTTTAATCAATAGAGTAGTAAAAATAAGGATGAAAACCTAATTACTCCTTTATTTTTTCTTAAAAATAATAAATAATTCAAAATCCTCTTATCCGGTACAATATAAACACATTATAAATAATACAGTTATTAGTATGATGTTGCATTAAATGTCTGATTAATTTAGTCAGTATTATCCGATGATAAATTATTCTATCCAACTGAAATAATTAGTACAGTCCGGGTTGTGAAACGAAGCCCAACAATTTATATCAAAGGGTCAAAACAGTGAGTGTATTTTACAGCCGCTACCCGAACTCTTTTCCTCCTCCACCACGTTCTTGTCTTTCAGTTTAAACACCGTTAATATTACTCTCTCCAGTCTCCAGTCTCCAGTAGAAAACGTTTGTGCAAGGAAAACGCAATCACCACCAGAAACTGAAGGAAAACGCAACTTTGAATTCTGGGTATCGTACTAAAATAACTCTACTGTCTGTCTATTATATATTGCCTGATACATGTTTGATGAAATGCTTGAATGAGACTTTATCATCAATTTTGATTGTTTGAATGAGACTTCATCACCAACTGGGTTATTTAAGATAACACCAACTGGGTTAACCTAGATTTTGGAGTTATGTTAACCGTTTATTAGTTAGAGTGTGGTGGACTGGATTCATCAAAACAAATTTGGTAGCCAATTTATTTGTTTGTTATATTTGTATTGAGCATCAGAGGACTGAAATTCTAAGAGAGAGGAATGCGTTCCTCATAATTATGAGAGGGTTGGGGGGTGTGGCTGTTCTGGAGGATAATATTTGTTTTCTGCTTTGATTATTCGACATCTTTTTATTCAGTCTATGTTTCTTGCATTTCTATTAGTATTAGAAAAATGGGGATAAGAAAATCAAACGATGGTTTTCTTCCTTTGTTTATGTTGTGTCTAACATTGAGCTGTTTGATTTTCTCTTCAGAAATCAATGTGAGGTCTGTTGTTCTACAATGCTTCAATGGATTTCATGCAGTAAATACCTTTTTCATGCATGTGGTCCTTCTAGAAAAAGCCTCTCACACCCCTGGAAATGTGTGCGAAAAGACTAGTGAATGGATAGTCGCAGAGCTTAAATTACTGATGCCTGGGTAAAATGCTGAGAATATTCAATGTTATAAACCTAAATTTAAAAGGCACGAGAGCTGCCTATGGAAATGCTTCAATCAGATTAGAAAATGTAACCAGGAGCTACCGCGTAGATGCCAGGCACTATGAAGAGTTGTCTCTTCTGCTTCAAAGTTCCCAAAGTTCATTAGCATTCAAACCCAATTACCAAGTATTATGTGCCATTCTAAAATCCTGTGCTGCCCTCATAGCCATCAACTTTGGGAAGTCTCTTCATGGTTATGTTGTCAAACAGGGCCATCTTTCCTGCCAGTCTATCTCTAAAGCTCTGCTTAACATGTATGCCAAATGTGGTGTATTGGGTGACTGCAAAATGCTTTTTGGTCAAATAGGCTCCTCGGATCCTGTCATATGGAACATTATCTTATCTGGGTTTTCAGCATCCCGAAATTATGATGCTGAGGTAATAAGACTCTTTCATGAAATGTGTTTAGGTGGGAAGCCTAAGCCCACATCTGTTACCATTGCTACCATTCTTCCTGTGTGTGCTCGCATAGCAGATTTAGATGTGGGGAAGAGCGTGCACTCTTATGTGATAAAGTCTGGATTGATGACAGATGTCTTTGTTGGAAATGCTCTTATATCAATGTATTCAAAATGTGGGCTAGTTTCTGCTGATGCATACGCTGTGTTTAATAGCATTATTGACAAAGATGTTATTTCATGGAATGCAATGATTGCAGGGTTGGCTGAAAATGGATTCATACATGATGCATACAAGTTATTCAGTTGGATGCTCAAAGGACCAGTTGAACCAAATTATGCAACTATTGCAAATGTTCTGCCAATATGTTCTTCTTTAGATAAAAATACAGCGTACTGCGCTGGGAGAGAGATCCATTGTTATGTTCTGCGTCGGAATGAATTGGCAGCAGATGTTACTGTGTTCAATGCTTTGGTAAGTTTTCATTTACAACTTGGACGAATGGAACAAGCGGAATCCTTGTTCCACCGAATGAAATCAAGAGATTTGGTTTCATGGAATGCAATTATTGCAGGGTATGCTTCAAATGGTGAGTGGTCAAAAGCATTGGATCTGTTTCACAAATTACTCTCACTGCAGACAATTGGGCCAGATTCTGTTACCATTGTGAGCATTCTTCCTGCTTGTGCACAGTTACAGAACTTGGAGGTGGGGAAAAAGATCCATGGGTACATTCTTCGACATTGTAGCCTATTTGAAGCTACAACGGTTGGAAATGCCATGGTTAGTTTTTATGCAAAATGCGATAAGCTTGAAGCAGCTTTTGAGACTTTTTTGATGATTTCTAGGAGAGATTTGATATCATGGAATACCATACTTGTTGCCTTTGCAGAGATTGGGTATAGTAACAACTTTTTGAACCTATTAGACGGGATGCTAAGGGAAGGTATGAGGCCTGACCATATAACCATTTTAAGCATAATAAAATTTTGTGTTGCAATTTTGAGAGTAGATAAGGTTAAAGAAATTCATAGCTATTCAATTAGATCTGGCCTTTTGGTGGGCGATTGTGAGCCTACTATTGCAAATACGATGCTTGATGCATATGCCAAATGTGGTAACATGATGTATGCTTTCAATATTTTTCAGAGTTTATTGCAGAAAAGGAATTTGGTTACTTGCAATTCTATGATTTCAGCTTATGTGAGTTGCGGATCACTGGATGAGGCATATATGATATTTAACAGAATGTCTGAAACAGATCTCACCACTTGGAATCTAATGGTTCGAGCTTATGCTGAAAATGGTTTTTCTGCTGAAGCCCTCAGTCTGTTCCTTGAGTTACAAACTCAAGGAATGAAGCCTGATGCGATGACCATTATGAGCCTCCTTCCCGTGTCTTCTCAAATGTACTCAGTCCACCTGCTGAGACAGTGTCATGGATATGTGATGAGAGCTTGTCTTAGTGATCTGTGCTTGAAAGGAGCTCTGTTGGATATGTACGCAAAATGTGGTGCCATAGTATGTGCTTATAAGCTATTTCAGTCAAGCTTGGATAAGGATCTGGTTATGTTTACAGCTATGGTTGGCGGGTTAGCCATGCATGGAATGGGAGAGGAAGCACTGAGGGTCTTCTCTCACATGCTTGACTTGGGTGTAAAGCCAGATAATGTTGTTATTACTGCTGTTTTATCTGCTTGTAGTCATGCTGGCCTGGTGAATGAAGGGTTGAAGATATTTAATTCGATAGAAGAGGTTCATGGGGTCAAACCAACAATGGAACAGTATGCTTGTGTGGTGGATCTCCTTGCGAGAGGTGGACAAATTGAGGATGCATTTTCTTTTGTGTCCAGGATGCCTATTGAAGCTAATGCTAGCATATGGGGAACACTGCTGGGTGCTTGCAGGACTCATCGTAAGGTGGAATTGGGCCGTGTTGCGGCAGATCATCTTTTTAAAAATGAAGCTAATAATACTGGGAACTACGTGGTGATGTCAAATCTATATGCAGCAGAAGCTAGATGGGATGGGGTCATGGAGATAAGAAAGCTGATGAAAACACGAGATCTAACGAAGCCAGCAGGATGCAGCTGGATAGAGGTGGAGAGGAGGAAGAATCTTTTTATAGCTGGAGACTGGTCTCATCCAGAAAGAAGTGTTATTTACAGCACATTAAGTGCATTGGACCAACAAATAAGAGCCAGTTTAAACATGAGTTTGTCAATGCCTAATTTTCTGAATGCAGAATCATTCTGTCACTTCGCATTTAGGTTTGGCATTCCAGTGAGCCGCTCCATACATACTCTTGTTAAGCAACCAAACCTAATTTTTTTTTAACGCCAAAGTTCATGATAGCACATGGGATGCTTAGCTGCTGCTTCAGAAAAATCTCGAATCTTGGATAAGTTTGTTACATGCCCCTTCATCAAGTTAACTGATGTAATGAAGATGTGAAGGAAGTTCAGTGGTTTGGTAACCTGGTGGAAATCTCTCTAAGAGTTTCCGGCAACTCTCATGTCTGGAACGTTGGAATGATTCTTACATGTTTCACCTGCGTACATTCTTCCCACGGTTCCACCATTTCCATTGGCAAAGCATAGGGTATACCTCTTGGAAGTCGCCAGTAATTCTCGTCGTGCCAAGAACATTACAGATAGCAGGCACACGTTTAAGGATTCTCAGACACGCAGTTAAGGGACTCGCACTGTGGGAGACTACACACTGCACACTAAGCAAGCTCAAGTTCCTACTACAGACATGCTACCTTGTACGGACCTATACCTTAGAGCGGAATGTCCTTACCATAGCAAATATGTTCCTTGGGAGACATTACTAAAGTCCGGTGCCACCATGGAAGTGCCAGGTGCTAGTACAGAGTAATGGACCTATACCTTAGAGCGGAAGGTCCTTACCATAGCAAATATGATCCTTGGGAGAAATTACTAAAGTCATGTGCCACCATGGAAGTGCCAGGTAGGGATGGGCAAATACCCATTGGTTATGGATAACCGCGGTTATGGGTAACCGCGGTTATCCAACCATTTAAATTTCACGGTTACGGTTATGGGTAACCGTTTAGATAAATAAACGACTATGGGTATAACCGTTTACTCGTGAAATTTAAATAGGTGGTTATGGGTATTAACCGTGGTTATAAACGGATAACTATTTACCTGTTTATTTTATATATGTAAAATTAACACAAATTGTGTTCCCACAAAACTTAAATCAATGCTATTGACTATAATGCATGGTTTCTATAGTTAATATAATATAGACTCAGCACAGTTTGAGGGACTTGTAGCCGTTTGATCAAATTTCAAGAGTTCGGATCTCCAGATCCTTAGGACTTGGTGGGGGAGATTCGGCTGGAATCTCTATCCCAGTTTGAGAATATATCATCTCACTGCATGTGTCCGGATATATGCTAGTGCAGTGCAATTCAGTTGTTCAAATTTTGGTGACAATTAATATATGATGCAGATGGGTATAATCCATTAGATCCATATGCCAACATAATAATCAGATAAGATTTTCTGCAGCAAAGTGGAACAAATATAAACATATTATATTTGTGTTTAAAAAATATGTAGACTCCTCGATTGTCAAATGACAAATTTTTCTTTTTTAATTTTCAAGTTGTTAAAAAACACATATAAACGGATGTGACAAGTGCATATTTTATCATCTATTGTACTCTGAAAACTACAATTTCTTAGATGCAATTTCAGATTTAAATGAAAGAAATGACATGTTTTGGTGTTTTTAAGATTAGATTAATGATATGGAAAATTATGCTATGTTTCTGTGATTTTCATGTTAGTTTGGTGGTCTCTAATCATGTTTGGTAAAATGGTGTTTAGACAACTATTTGTATTTATTATTTGTTAGTCTACTTTGACTTATCCAGTTGGGTCCCTGTGTAGACTCATTTCCTATTATTCAAATTTTAATTAGGTTCCTTATTGCACTATAGAAGGATGACCATCACGTGACTGCTTCAAGAAAACAAATGCCCTTATCCTCATATTTGCACCGACATAAGAAAGGATTGTTTTTCTCTCCCAATTTTCAGAAGCAAGCCGGTGCACTGCAGCTTATCAAAATTGAAGAGGGATGAAAATCCATATTTCTATTCCACTCTCCAGTTTGTTGGGTTTGCGGTGGAAGCATGAATTGGGCATTTTTTTATCTTTAATTCTCATCAATTGCAATGGAGATTTGGGTACTTTCAAACTTGGTTGATATATCACTTTGGAGATGAAATTCCCAGTTGGAATCTAGCAGGGTAGAAAAGGACAATATGGAGGCCTCGCTGCAACAAGTAGACCAACTTGATTGTGATTTAGGCATTCTGTTCTTTCAAGCTTTGATCAATTTTCACAAAGTGTCTGGCAAGGAGTTAAAAGGTTTCTTCCGTTTCTTTTCTTCTAATGTTTTCAATAAATGGGCTTTTAAGCCGTCGTCCGTTACGAAAAAAAAGGGAAATGAAAACAGAAGCAGCAGAGACAAACAGAGGTTAGGGATTTGGCAGGAAGAAAGGCTACAGCAGAGCAGAGGAGTTTACAGTGTTTTTCTAAACCCAATTTTCTTCTCATTTTTATTATGAATTCAATAATATTTTCGATTATGTTTATACCATACTTAGGGCCTTTGTATTTAGACCTCGTATAAATACTCGGGGAACTCAAATGTAATTATGTAATAAAGAAAAGGGCAAATATGTAAAAAGGGGAAGAGCCCTTATTCTATAAAAGGGCCTCCTCACCCTCACAAACCCTAAGCCTCAAAGGCCTCACATCCCCTCTCATATTCAGAGAAGCTCATCCTCACATAAGGAAGCTCTCCCTCTCTCTCCCTTTTCAACATCTCAGAGAAATCCAATATCAGTGTGGACGTAGCCCAAAACTTGGGGTGAACCACGATACATCTTGTGTTATTTACTTTCTTGCAGATTCACGGTCGGACTTACGTTGTTCCAAGACCACTCCAGTTTTGTGCATCAACATTTGGCGCCGTCTGTGGGAATCGACACAAAAAGCTATGTCGGTTCTCTTTCATTTTTTTCACCTCCACCGTGAATCTGCAGAAACCCAAGAACCAACAACCCAACACCCACACTCAGAGACACACCCATTCAATCTACGGAGAGAGAGAAAGATGGCCAGTTCAAGCTTGTATATTCAAATCTGTGCATTTACCTTGTTTACAAGCCTTCTGGATATCACAACCCAAGCTAGCCATGGCTAATGTGGCCTTCCAAATAAGGATACACATGCAGTACCCCTTTTTTGTATTTGGGGATTCCATATTTGATGCTGGAAACAACAACTACTTCAGCACTGTTTTTCAGGGAAACTACTGGCCATATGGTGAAATCTACAAAAAGGGTCATCCTACCAGAGCTAGTGCTTTGATTGAAACTCGCCAAGGCTTAGGGAGAGATCTTCATTGTCAACTATCATATTTCAAGAACGTTGGGAAGTCGTTGAGGCAGAAACTAGGGGATGAAGAAGCCAAATCTCTACTGTCTCGAGTTGTCTACTTGTCCAACATCGGAAGCAACGATTACCTTTTCCCATTCAATACAGATTCCAGCATGCTGAGATCCTCATCCCGTGAGGAATTTGTTGGCCTGATGATCGGCAACATAACTGCAGTTATTAAAGTATGCATCACCTGTGCTATGTAGGAGAGCTCCGAACCGACGCATCGGCGCTGGCGACATCAGCACCGTCTACCTCTGCACACTCTCGCTCTTTCTTCCTCTGCTTCATCTTCTTTATCTCGCGCCAAAGAAAAAACCCAGCACAACACAATGATGACAGCCTCGTCAACGTCGCTAATTCAGCGCGTTTGTGCCGTTCCTCTCGCACGCACTGCCTGCACTCCCGCTATGGCAGCGGCGATCATGAACTTGTCCACCACCACCACCGCCCCCAAAAGCACTGACCCCCAAGTCCTCCTCGGCTTGTCTGAACCGGAGCTCCAACAGCTAGCTATCGACTTCAGTCAGTAAGGTTACAGAGGGAAGCAACTCCATCATCTTATTTACAAAAGAAAGATTAAAGATATTCAGGATTTCAATCAGGTGCCTCTGGCATTCAGAAATGAGCTTGAGGAAGTTGGATGGATTATTGGTAGGTCACCTATTTACCAAAGTGTCACTGTTGCTGATGGTACCGTCAAGGTATTGATAAAGTTGGAGGATAACAGATTGATTGAAACTGTTGGCATACCAGTTAAAGACGAGAAAGGTATGATGCGCCTTACAGCATGTATCTCATCACAGGTGGGATGCCCTCTTCGTTGCTCATTTTTTACAGTTGGAATACACCAGTTTGTGTTCAAACAGCAGAAAAAGAAAAAGGATGAGGCATATATACCAAAGCTGCTTATGTCGGTGCAGATCTTGTCGACAAGGTTGAAAGAAATATTCCCGAGGATGACCCAAGAAACCCAACTATGATAGCTAATAATTGCCTGCGCACTTCCTCAACCAATACGGAAGTGTTGTCTGCCATCTGCCAAAAGGGAAAAGAGGCAGAAAGTAAAAGAGAAAGCAAAAGCAGAAAGCAAAAGAGAAAGCAAAAGCAAGGAATAAACACCCCACTAGAATGATGTGATTTACTTTTCTTAGCAAATGTATGATGTGATTTATTTTTCTTATCTTTCAGAGACATTTGTATAAACCCCATCAGAGGGTAATTAGAAAAAAAAACGGCAAAGCCCAAAATAAATGGGCTGGAATGTTGTGTGGAGGGCGAAGGCCCATAAGCCCAAAATAGCTTTAACCAGGCGATCAAAAGTACGCCCAGTACTCCAAAATTATTCAGCAACCCGTTGCTATTACCACCAACCAGGTGATCAAAAGTACGCCAGTACTCCAAAATTATTCGACAACTTGCCTCTATTATCACCAACCAGGTGACCAAAAGTACGCCCAGTACTCCAAAATTATTCGGCAACCTGCCGCTATTACCACCAACCAGGTGATGAAATGTACAACCCGTACTCTAATATCATTTGGTAACTAGCCATTCATGCCACCAACCAGGTGATGAAATGTACAACCCGTACTCTCCTTTATGCCACCAACCAGGTGATTAAAAGTACGCCCAGTACTCCAAATTATACATGAGCATTACTCATGTCATTCATACATAAACATTCATGAGCATCACTCATGACAATTATACATAAACATTCATGACCATCATTCATGTCAACATTCATGAGCAGCACTCATGTTAACATTCATGAGCATCACTTATGACAACATCCATGAGCATCACTCACGACAATCAACATAAACATTCATAAGCATCACTCATGTCAATCAGCTCCAAAAGCTTCATTTACAGAGCTCTAGCTTCAAAAGCTTCATTTACAAAAGCTCCAGCTTCGAAAGCTTCATTTACAAAAGCTCCAGCTTCGAAAGCTTGAAAAGCCTCATTTACAGAGCTCTAGCTTCAAAAGCTTCATTTACAAAGGCTCTAGCTTCAAAAGCCTCATTTACAGAGCTCTAGCTTCAAAAGCTTCATTTACAAAAGCTCTAGCTTCAAAAGCTTCATTTACAAAGCTCTAGCTTCAAAAAGCTTCATTTACAGAGCTCTAGCTTCAAAGCTTCACTTACAAAGCTTTACCTACAAAGCTTCAGTGCAGGGTATACAAATAATGCCTCCAAACAACCGCCACTTTGGCCCATACATGGATTCAATTTGAAGTCTCTAGCTAACATATTCTATTGACCGAAGACTTGGGGGACTACATTATGTACCATATATTGGGCCTCAACTGGGCCTCATGAAAAATACTTGGGGGACTTAGCCCATTATTCATGTACTGAGGAACGAGCCCTTATTCTATAAAAGGGACTCCCTCACCTTCATTAGAGAGCAACGCCGCCGACTAAGCAACCGCCTCGCCGCGAGCATCACTCCTAACCCATCACTTATGTATTGAGGAGCGAGCCCTTATTCTATAAAAGCGACTCCCTCACCACCATTAGAGAGCATCAAACTCTAGCCCATCATTTATGTATTGAGAAGCGAGCCCTTATTCTATAAAAGGGACCCCCTCACCTTCAAGCACCACAAGCCGAGCCAACCAAAGCAACATAAGCCACAAGCCGAGCAGTCTCGCAACATGTGCTACTTATAGTTGAGCATCATTTCACTTTGAGCACCGCCTCATATCAAGTATCAGTTCAAGACGACATCTAGTTACTTCGGCCCACACATGGACTGAATTTCAAGTTTTCAGCCAAAAGACTCTCTTGACTGAAGACTTGGGGGACTACTGTTTATACCATACTTAGGGCCTTCGTATTTATACTTCATATAAATACTCGGGGGACTCAAATGTAATTATGTAATAAAGGAATGGGCAAATATGTAAAAAGAGAAGGAGCCCTTATTCTATAAAAGGGCCTCCTCACCCTCACAAACCCTAAGCCTCAAAGGCCTCGCATCCCCTCTCATATTCAGAGAAGCTCATCCTCACATAAGGAAGCTCTCTTTCTCCCTCTTTAACATCTCAGAGAAATATAATATCAGTGTGGACGTAGCCCAAACCTTGAGGTGAACCACGATACATCTTGTGTTATTTACTTTCTTGCAGATTCACGGTCGGACTTACGTTGTTCCAAGACCCCTCCGGTTTTGTGCATCAACAGATTATGTTTCGGAACTAATTTTCCTTAGCTAGGGCTACGATGTAGCCATGACTATGAATGCTTATATTCTCAAGTGAATTATTTCAAGTTTTCAGTTTCATTGAGTATCGTTTGCTATGCTTATATGCTTGGTTTTAGTCTTTGTGATTAGCTACCATCTTGACTTTTACTTGGTAAATTTGATGCAAGTTGTGCAGATGCCATGTTTTCAACTTGAGTGATAGCTTTTTGCAAATAGATAGCATAAATTACCTATTAGTAGATGCCATACTCTGGGATTTGTGTAGTCTTTATATAAATTTCCACTGATCATAATGAGTTTCATGATGTTAAACTATTCCAGATGCCATGGATGGTTGCAAATTGCGATATACGTAATAGTTTAGATGCCATAGATATTACATTAATTAGGAAAATTTGACTATCAATGAGATTGAGTACTTGTTAATAATTTGTGGCAGGAAATAAGTAGGATTGGTTATGGTGAATCGGACGCTCTAGCATTTTACTCGATTGAATTACAACTTGTTTTTCTTGGCTGCCACTTTGTGCATTGTGATCAAACTTTCTTACTTTCATTTGTTTTTTATTATTAATTTCAATTCTCAAGTCCATCTTTCATCAATCTTTACTAATTTTACTTCGTGCAATTGGATTTAAGTTAGTTGATAAGAATTAAATCATTTTCTGAGGGACGATGTTAAGTGCTTGCTTTCTATACTATTGAACGATTTGTACACTTGCGAGCATAAAATTTGGAACTAAGTTGGACTAATTTTGGTTAGTTTAAATTTTGCAGCAGGATGAAAAATAGGTAAATGGTAAAAAAGAAAGGATAAATGGGTTAAAAAGAGTAAATGGGTAAGCGGATACTAAACAATTACGGTTAAATGGGTACGCGGTTATGGGTATGGTTAACCGTTTATAAACGGTACGGTTATGGGTATGAGTATAACCGTTTAGGCAAATACCCAACGGGTAAGTGGTTATGCGGGTATGAGCATAAATAGTTATAGATAAATAACCGCGATTACCCGCTCGCCATAACCATTGCTCATCCCTAGTGCCAGGTGCTAGTACAGAGTAATGGTAAAAGGACTCGTCCACAGCAGTTACCAAAGGGAGAGAATTAACATTTTGGGTAAAACTAACGTTAACATTCAGTTAAGTTCCACTACGTCAAGTCCAGTTCATATTCCTGATTTTCATTTACTGTTCCCTCCCTCTTTCTCAGCGTTGGAAGAACCTTAACTGAACAAAGCTGTCTTCCATTGAAGCTTTTTGGTGATCTGAAGTAGGAATGCAGCGGGGTGATTTCGTTTTTTCTACTAAGCCTTAGAAACTTTATGAGGTACTTCAAATTTGAATGTAGACTCCCCCCATTCATTTTGTAAGATTTCTTCTTTTAATCCTTCTTTGGCTTTTCTTTTTGCAGGTTTCAAATTTCTGGGCGTCGGCATTGGTTTAGCACCTTGCTGCTTCGGCATTATTATTTTTTTTTCTATTGATTTATTCCAGGTACTTTCGTTTCTTTCATTTTTTAGAGGAATCTGAATCTTACTACAATTTTTCGGTCGAATTTTCTTTCATCTGTTTGGCATGGAGTTTGCTTAAACTCTGGGGTTTGGTTTTGGTTTGATAGATGCTTACGCAAGCTAATGTGCAGCAACATGGTAAAGAAACAATAGGATTTTGGTGCCGGGAAAAATCCTCCACTGGGTGAACAAACCGGGGTTTGAGTTAGCTGATCAAGCTGTGAAAACCCATTAATCACAACCGAAAACTTGTACGGTTTTAGCTTGCTCAATCACCTAGCTCCTCTAAGTGGCAGCAATAGCTAGTATGAATATGGATCTTCCTCGACGATGGATAATCATTTCCGAGATCGTCAAGCTTCCTCAATCAATCCTGAACAAGACAGCAGAAATGATATGCAGTATGGATGAACTGGAAGCATGAACAGCTACCTGAGTTCACTCAAGGCATATGCAGTGTTCAAGCTCAACCGATTCGGT